TTGGTGTGTGGTGTGGTGTGTTGTGGTGTGTTTGTGTGTGGTGTGTGTGTGTGTGGTGTGTGTGTGTGTGTGTGATGTGTGTGTGTTGTGTGTACTCTCTCTCTGTGTGTGTGTGTGTATGTTGTGGTGTGTGGTGGTGTGGTTGTTGTGTGTTGTGTTGTGAGTGTGTGTATGGTGTACTCCTCTCCTGTGTGTGTGTGTGTGTGGGTGGTGTTGTGTGTGTGTGGTGTGTGTGTGTGTGTGTGTTGTTACTCTCTCTCTGGTTGTGTGTTGTGGTGTGGTATTGTGTGTGTGTGTGTGTGTGTGCGTGAGTGTGGTGGTGTGTGTGTGGTGGTGTGTTGTGTGTGTGTGTGTGGTGTTGTGTGGTGTGTGTTCCCAGAATAGTTGGCTCACTTGTGTTCATGCCGGGTGAAAAGCGTCAGAAAGGGTACGTCAATGTTATTGTTTTTGTAGTTAACAGTCTACTGTATCTGTGGTCACAGTCCACTGAGGCTTCCAGTCAGTCACCATGGCTCGCTGGACGCTTGCCAACTTTTTATTTCTCTTGCTTCTCTGCAGCTCCGAGTCCTCCGACAGAAATGTTCGAAGAAGGTACGTCTCGAAGCAAAAATATTATTGTATTAAATACTCAGTAAAAGTCCTGATTTAAAAAAAAATTACAACCAGTTCTCGGCACAATGGCCCTTTTCAGAATAATATTAAGTACAGAAATATAATCAGATAAATGTACTTCGAGTATCAAAAGTAAAAGTACCTGTTAAACAGAAAGGATATTTTCACAGTATAATTCTATTATGGATTATTATAAGAGCAATCTAGTTTGTCAATGTGGACCAAATACTTCAAATACTATGTAGATTACAGCACTGCATTACACCATATCAGCATATCATGTGTTTTTAAAAGAAACTGTGAGTGTTATATAAATGAAGTGGAGTAAAAAGTACAATATTTGCCTCTGAAATGTAGTGGAATAGAAGTATAATGTAGCATTAAATGGAAATACTCAAGTACATATATGCCTTACTGTAGGTACAATACTTGAGTAAATGTTACTTTGTATTGTGCAATATACCCTCATGCAACTCGTACACAGTAGTAGCTACCTCTTTAATTCTATATGTCACTTTTTTTAAACAAATACTGCTTCCTTTTTACCAGGGTTTACTTATACGCTATTTTGACTTATGGTGTTCTCTTGTTATTAATATTGTGTGCAAACTAAGTAATTGTTGTAATATGTTAGTCTAGTCTCCTCGCTTTACCTGCACTTTCTGCTGTTATCATAATGTAAATGTTCCCGTTGCGCATCAAAGCATTTCTGATTCTGATTTCCATCGCTGGTTTTCTGCTGACTGTAAAGAGGATATATTTAAAGCTGTGTTTCCTCTCTAACTAATGGGTCTGTCCTCTTTACAGACCCAGCTGGATGGACAGGTAAGTGTTTGCACAGAGATCAAATGTTTAGTTTTAACCTCTGTCTCTGACAAGTTATGATTTCTGAAACTGCTCCCCAGATTTACACCGATAGAACATTTCTGGGAACTCCACCAGTAAGTAACTAAAGCTGCACTTAACAGAAAACTAAATGTAGTATCATATTTTTAATTTTGAAAAAAATGTGTTTGATTAAACTCTGTATTAATGGAAATCAATAAAAAAACAAAATTAATTAAAACACGAATTCAATATAATCATCGCTGGTGTTTGAATGACAGGATTTCCATCATTGATGCTGAATTATCATATCTTTCAATACCATTTTTACATATCTGTGTTACTAAAAATGACCTTATAGACAGGGGTGCACATAAGTGGTACGCAGGTACGCATGCGCGGCAACAATCTGAAATGCGTACCGTCACTTGTGTCACAAAGCGCATTTGCGTACCGATGTATATGTGAAGCGGTTGGATCACCGGACGACGGAGTCGGTCTCCGTGTGCAAAGACAGGGCTGCTGTTAACGTCGGCCTGTACAGCAGCACTGCGCTAAAACAGCTGATCACAACGGTCACACGCTCTGTGGTCACGAAGCTCTGCACTCTACTACTACCCCCCCCCCGTTGACATTCGCGATACAGAGGGCTTCATCATACTCTACTATAACCCTCACCCCCCCAAGCCACTTTAGTGCAAGGATTTTCGGTACCTCTGCATGTAAAGTCTTCGTATGTCTTCAGTAACAACTCCCAGAGCGGTGGCTGTCATTGCTTCTCTTAACGATACACAGGTTACGAGTCGGCCTATTCGCTGAAGATCATAAGTAACCGGGGGGTACCACAACTGCGCCGACAGTCTGACCGACAAAAGATTTCTGTGTCTTCTTCCAGGCACCGACCTCGTTCATATAAAGTCTCAAGCCGGCCCGTCAGTTGTAGCGCAAACGAAAGGAACTTCTGACACTTGGTAAAGGACTCCGATGAACAGCGGCAGTTCGAGCCCCCACGTCCGGGTGGTCGAGACTATACTGGTGTAGTGTCTCTCCACTCTCGGTTGAATTACGCTAAAACTTTTCAGACGAGTGACGAGGTGTCAAAATTCCCTTTCTTGTTCGACTAGCAGACGGCTCGGTCCGCCTCGAAGAGCGGCGGTACGCGGCGACTCTCCGCGTGGGACTAGAGAACTTGGACTACCGATCGTTAGGCTGCGAGTAGTGTCATGGACGATAATACCGATAGATTGAGGGAGGTACCTCGGAGGACAAACCGTGCAGGCACACATACGTTGTACACTTGGTTGTGCCTCCAGAAAACTCCACTGTCTCTCCCCGTGACGACTCCAATGTAGTAGTGCACGTCCTAGTGTTCTTGACGGTTCTGTAGACGGCTCTCGTGTCGACCACGAATGTTATTCCTCACATCGACCCAGTAACGCCACCTACCCTATTTTCTCCCGAACAGCGCAGGAGTCTCACTTTAAGAAGGAAAAAGTGTTGCCGCCTTCGTCCGGAACAAGGTTCTGGACTTTGCGAGTGAACTTCTCCCGAACCCACTACGACCCGATCTTTGTCGGCAGTGGAAGTGGTAGACGCGTGACGGGACCGGCCTGTATAGTTCGGTAGTTGGTTCCTAGGTCTTTCGTCAGCTAAAGAGCGATCCAAATACACAGTGCTGCATCGGTGACGTCTGCCAAGATGCGCTTATGCGGACGCTCTATTTCCTCCCTAACTTCTAGACAGTACGAAGTCGCGCTGTCGTCGACGTCGCGTAGTAGTAGTCTCCTCAGCAGGTGCGAGTCGAATGGAGGCTTCACTGGTCCCGCCTCTCGTCGCTTATGGAGAAGAAGTCCTGCTACATGAGGACCTACTCCTTCCGGCACGGCTGAGTTGGGAAAAGGGCGCCACGTGGCGATGTTGTATCGTGCCCCGATTAATACCGGGTCCGGGACAATTAGTACAACATTAGTACAAACACATAATACATAATAATGTATATAAACATATGACACAAACATGTTACTACACTAATACCTATTTATTTATTTATTTATTTTTTTGTAATCATATTGAACCTCCAGGGTCCCCGTTATGTCCACGGTCCACAGTGCGATACATTGGTACAAAATGGCGTCTAAGTTCTGTGGAAGGACCGAACATTTTTACGCCACTACGTGGGACCTGCATAGTCTGATAAAATCTTGTTGAAGGGGGCGAAATTGGCATAGACCACAAAATCGGACAGTAAAACGTCTATAGTAAATTGAACGGGAGAGGACCTTTACCCTGTATAAGACACAAGTCCTCTCCCAGTTACGAATTTACTCATAGGACGTTTTACTGTCGTGATTTTGAGAGAAGGTCTGCAAATTTTGTGAAAGGGGCCTGGTAATTTTGAAAAGGGGCGAAAGTTTGTGCATAGGGACCCAACAAAATCCGGCAGTAAAACGTCCTATATGTAAATTGTAACTGGAGAGGACCTTTACCGTGTCTTATACAGGTAGTCCTTTCCCAGTTACGCAATCTACTACTCGGACGTTTCTCGCTCGTCCGATCGTCTCTCGAGAGAACGCGCGCGCTCTGAATTTTCGTGAAGGGCTGGTAAATTGTTGAAAAGGGGCGGAAAGTTTGTGCATAGGGACCCACAAAATCGGACAGTAAAACGTCCTATATAAATTGAACTGGAAGACCCTTTAGCGTGTTCTTATACCAGGTAAAGGTCTCTCCAGTTACAATTGTACTATAGACGGTTCTTACTGTCCGATGTTGGAGAAGGTCTCCTCGCAAATTTTGAAAGGGCGGCTGGTAAATTGTTGAAAACGGGCGGAAGTTTTTGTGCATAGGGACCCACAAAACTCGGACAGTAAAACGTCCTATAGTACGCGGCTGACCAGTAAAGGTCCTCTCCAGTCTACAAATTTATATAGGACGTTTGTACTGTCCATGTTCAGAGAGTGCTCGCAACTTTTGTGACACCGCGGGCTGTAAATTTGTAATAAGACCCAACACTTTCACGCACTACCTCGAACCATCAAGTCTAGATAAATTTCCAATCCGCTCTGTATCTAAGCGTTTCTTCCCCAACCACAGTACTTCTCCGCTTAATCCTACGCTACAGCCTGCCATTCGTGGCGTTTAGGTGGGGAAATCCCACATGCTCCCGTACTCCAAGAAGATCCCACACTCAGTAGACCAACATCAGCACTCGACATCAGCGGGCCCAGAGTGCTCACGTGCTCAATACCTCAACCGGTGACAACGGCCCTCCAGAGTCAGGCAGGAACCCGAGATCAGTCGCCGATGTCTCTCACCCAAAGGCGCGCGGCCGACGGGAGACCTCATACTTTATTGGACTCGAGGTACACTCCCTTCTCCGCACCCTCAGTCAGTCCGGCAGAACCCCGAGACCTCCGACTTCTCTCCACAAAAAGGGCCAGATAAACTACTTCTGACTGTAACCCGTCTCACACGTGCACTCCTCGGCACGACCTCGGACGAATCAGCAGAAGCCCCACACACTCCCCATTTAGCTCCACAAAGGGGCCAGATAAACTACCTTCTCGACTGTACTCGTCTCACGTCGAAACCTTCCTATTGCAGTGGGTGCCGCCCGTACGACTCAACACATCCCATACTTCACTGCCGAACAGGACTGGCGGCTGCGACTAATAATCCGCAGACTCTTGTTAGACTAAACTGCGTGTGACACGCTCAGCATTCGGCTAAACAGTGCGCCCACGCAAGGCGCGCTCTGATAAATTTAGTGCACAGTGGTACCACCCTAAATCCCTTACATTGGACCACCCAAGCCCGAAGGGACGTGAAATGTTTATGTACTAAAACGGACAAAAACAACAAAAAAATGATAATTACGTGACACGAGGGACCCTACTACGGGGAGGACCCCCGTGTGTACTCTTGACGTGAGTCTTACTGAAACACGAAAATTTGTCAAATTTTATAAAA